CCCCCGCCGCACCCCGCTCCATAGCTGTGATGGATCCCGCGCACATAAATCACCACAGCAGCCGGTAGCGCCGCTGCCTGCAGGCATCCCGCTGGTGCCGAGGCCCGCCCCGCCCCGCACACCCTCAGCAGCCGATAGAGATATATGGGGGAACAAGAAGAGGGGATGTTGGGAGTGAGGAGCGGGAGATGAGACGAGGGGCGGAGAGAGCGTGGACCGCGCCGCGCGCGTAAGGTTGGTAAAGTTATTGTCGCGTGAAGTCGATCCCCGCACTTCTCTGAGATTGCGACTGAGCTCGGGAGAAAGCAGAGCCGGGGAGCAGCCGCTGGAAAATAAAGTTCCAGCTGTCTTCGCCGCGGCGGGGCGACGGCTCTCAACTTTTCCCCACCCGCGGAGTTTAAACGTTGGTCCCCGCAGACCTTTTCCCCGCTCGCCGCCACCTAATCCCAATTACTTAGTTTTTTGCTCGCCGCGTCACGGTGACGTTTGCAAAGCGCCTGGGGCTCTAAATCCGCAGTGTCCTGTCCCGCTCTTTTATTACAATTATTATTGCATCCTGCGGTACAATTCTTCCTCTTTAACCTCGGTGGCCAGAGTTCCAGATCAGAGGGTTGGTGAGGGGTGGGATAGGGGGGGGGGGGGAGGGTTGCACTTGGCGCATCGGGTGCGGCCAGGTGGTTAGTTCTGCCCGGGCCGGGGCCATTCGTCATTGCGAACCGTGACATTCATTTGTCAGTGCCCCGCCCCGCCCCTGGTTCCGCCCCAGGCGCCGGTAGCAGGGACCCCTGCGGGGCCGAACAGGGAGCACCAACACATACCACAATCACGGCGCACTTAGCCGCCTGCGCCAAAGAGACTGCTATAGGGTGGAGCGCCAGCGCACGCCTCGAGTGGTGCCCGGCAAAGAGATCGTGTACCCACACCGTCACTTTAGGGGCGCAGGTGGGAAGGGGGTGGGGGGAGAAAGTCATGGGGTCGCAAAAGAACCATGAGGACGGTCATTGGGACCCCTTGATATTTTTTTACCCTGGGTTACAAATATTACTAAGGACTCTTACGACCGCTAACGACCGTCCTGATTTTTGAGACCCCATTTTATTTGTCTCGCCCCCCTCTGAAGTCACATGGTATTTGCACGTCTTGCCTTGCAAACGTCTTCTTGCAGACCCACCCACCTCGAGTTCATGTAGCAGTAGATGATGGGGTTGTACATCGAGTTGCTCATGGCCAGCCAGTAGATGCCCAGGTACACTTCCTGCACGTAGGCGGAGCTGGTGATCTCGGGGATCTCCGACGTGATGATGAAGTACAGGTGGAAGGGGAGCCAGCACACGCCAAAGATGGTCACCACCACGATCATCATCTTCACAACCTGAGGCAGAAAAAGAGAGCAAACTTTGTAAAACTACGATGGAAACAACAAATTTGCGAGATAGGATCGATGCTATAGGTATTTTGGGTGAAGCAGTCAGGGTGTATATTAGTTATTTTCACATCGAGGAGTGCGGTGTGGCGGAGCCCGCAGCCGCCGCAGGCAGCCATGCGGACGCTTCCGGGACGTACGGGCGTGCGCGTGCTCGTGCGTGAAGGGAGGGGCCCTGTGGGGCCGCGATGGAGCAAATCAGCGATAATTCGGTAGACACGACACTAACACGAGCGGAGCGGCGTGACGTGACGGGCGGAACCCCCATGACCCCCCCCCCCCCCTTTTCTCTCTCCAGCACTTTGCCTGTCGTCGTTCAGTCAGCCAGAGTATAGAGCAGGGAGAGCTTTCTAAAGGCAACACGCGACACGGGACAGGACTTTCAATTAAAACTTTCCAAAAAGCAGTTACTTGAATCAAGTGCATTTTCCCCTGGAAATAAGTGCATGAACTCAGTTTCGAGAGTGCAGTCCTTTCGAGAAAATACATTTTTGCGTGAAGAGAGCACAGGCCCAGCAGGACTCAACCAGGACCGCACCTCCAGGCGTGGCTCACGAACATCATGACCTAACGAGAACATCTTCAAAGATATGGGCGGTCCAATAAGTAGTGAACACGTGCGCTTTGACGACCAACCACATAATTTTTTGGACGTGCCCCGAGGACCACACACATGATTGGGCCGCTCGGCTGGCGAACGGAATAGGAGAGCGAAAAGTTAGTCTCTGGGCTCTCCTCCTCTGGAGCCCGCCCTCTGCCAGATGGTGCAAAGCCTCGGTGCAGATTGACGGGACGGGAGAGCAGTTTCTGCTTGGGTGCCGGATCGGCCTGGCGCTGCTGGCGGGGTGGCGGCGGGCGGGTTAGAGAGAGAGAGAGAAGAAAGGGGGGGGGGGGCTGATGAATAGGCAGAGACATCCCGCCCCGGGAGGTAATGGCCGCTCTAGTTAGCCCGGTCACGCCCCGCCCGGGTCGTGCTCGCCTAATCCGTCAACGGTACGACACACAGGATGTTATGTAAACGCCAATTATATTTTGATTTCAGAGCACAAAAACCGTCGTGCTTCGACGGAAAAAAAATAATGTGTATCGTCTAATGGAGGAAGAAGAATAGCGGGTGGGACATAAACGTAACCAATCGATTGAGAGCGACAGCCCATAATTTTTGCTTGTCGATCAATTTCCAAGTCGATACGAATTGCTTGTAAATTTACAATTCCAAATCGTAGTTTTACGATACACTTTACGGAAAATTTCCCCATAAAACTACGCCTAATTTTCACAGTGAGTATTACTGGGGAGAGGGCAGAATGGGGCGTCGGGTCCCGCCATCCCGGGTTTCCAATCGCCTCGTCCACGGTCCACATTCACGGAACTTGAGCGGAGGAGGTGGGTCAGGAGGAACGTCGTCCAGAAGCGTGCTCCAAGCCGAGGGTAAACCTGGCCGCCCGTGCCTTGCCTCCCGGTGGACTCGCCCCATCTAAAGACAAAGAAGGGAGGGCAAGAGCGCGCGTCAGAGTGTTTGCAGTGCAGCTCAACTTTCTCCGGTAGCACAGAGGCACCAGCAGGCTACTTCCGCTATGGGGCGTGGGCGTCGTGGGGTCGAGTTTGGCTGCCTCCCGCTGCCCCGCGTCGCGTCCCGGGCGGCCTGCGAGGCCCCACCAGCTCCGCGCCAGCCCTCCGCCGATAGAGCCTTTTCATCCCGTCGCGCAGCCCCGCCCCCGCCCTGCTCGACCAGCACCCGTCTGCTGTATGATGAAAGACTCACGCCCCCGCCCACGAGATATCGGCAACTTCCAAGAAAGTGCGCGGCGACAGGCGACACGAGTGCCGTATCCAGTTAAGAATCGGTCGCGTTTCCACGCTTAGCGCAGCCACGGCACGCCGTGGCGCAGGCTCGCTCACCCTGGTGTGAGGTAGGCGAGGGGCTGGAACGCCTAACCCTAACCCGACCACCCTGCACCCCGCTTCTCCGCTCGCCCGGGCCCGAGGTATAGGAGGCGAGTGTAAGAGGGGGGAGGAAGCGGGCGTGGAGCGAGAGAGAGAGAGAGAGAGAGAGAGAGGGGGGGGGGGCGATCGAGCACTTTTCGGCGCCATATCGCCATTAACGCATCCTTCAACACGTCGTCAGACTTTGCTCACAACTCACATCGTAGGCAAGAAAGGCTCGGTACCTTAGGATTCGAGTATCCCGCCCGCCCGGCACCCGCTATATTGCTTGGACGCGCACCGAGCGTTTCAAATGCTTGCCTATGATAATTTAGGAATACATTATACGCGCTACATAGCGAAAAGTCTTCTACAGAATATGAAATTGCAAATCGGCCGCTCGCCGTACTCGATCACCCCTCCCCCCCCC